GAAATGGATCTCTCTTTCTTTGTGGGTACCCTTTTCGCAGTTCAAGGGAAGCCACGAAGAAACCATCTATTTGGGGTCACCTACCTTCAACTATCTGGGTTTTGATCACGGCTCAGGTGTCGCTTCGCTCCCTGATCCGAGAGCGGGCCCTTAGAGAATTAGAATGTGTCTTTGGGCCTGCAAAACCAAACTTGATCATGCCACAAACTAGCGCGGCGGGGCGTGTGCTAAAAGACCAAAACCTGGGTTTAATCTATTTTGGTCGCAACCAAACCTCAGAACCGCACCAACCATGCGTCAAAATAGGAATATGGACCTCCAAAATGGCTTTGGGGTTCCTTGTGGTGTCCCTTTGACCCACCCCAAAAAGTGTACCATCAAAATAGACACCCCCATGTTGGGCTATCCTAAAATATGGCATAGTTTGGGAGACTCCGGCAAAGGTGTGGGATGCCCCAGCTTTCCAATCGCATGCGATGGTCGCCAAATTGATGCTCTCCATGGCTGGGAAGGTGCAAGACTCGGCACCCTTGTGGAGGCAAAAAACCGTCTTCCACTGGAGGGACATTGAAATTCAGGATGTTGTGGTCTTTTCACCCATGCTACAGCCTTCCTCTTCAGTCTGTTGGAGGATACCACTGGGACTTATATTACGTCCGATCACCACGGACAACGTTTGGCAAAAGATTCAAATTTGGGCTGTCCCCCCTCCAGTGAACATTGGGGAGCCCCTCCTTGTGCTCGCCCCCGAATGCTGGCAATAAAGATAAGTCATCTCTGGTGTGTAAAAAGCTACCGAACAAGAACGCAAGGGACGTTTACCGTCCCTGTCCCATCTCTACAAAACCGCACACTCAACTAGCTGCGACATGTCCGAAATATGGGAAAATCGAGGTTCCGTCTCTCTGGTTTTCGTGATCGAAATTGACCGGCTCATCCCGTATGTCCCGAACCACAAACAGACCATAGACAGGACATGTCGACCAAACCTCGTGTAAGAGCATAAGAATCCTTCCGCCACAGGAAACCCAGGCTGGGTACCCTTTTAGGGGTTTGGTTCAAAGGGAAACCAAAAGGATAACTTCAAGGATAGCCACCTTTCCGCGGTCCCCTATTTTGTCGAGCCATACACTCCAAGCCCATGCCTCTGGAAGCTTCCAGTGCTTCAGCCGCTGAACGCCATCTTTGGGCCAGCGCCTGCGCATGTGTAGTACAAACACCCAATGCGAGGCTATTCGAACTGATATGATGTATGAACTTTGAAATGGGTGGCTGGCCATCTTGGCACATGAGTGAATTCGTGCAGGCCAACTGTAACTGTAAGTAGGTGCTTCAGAGATTGAAAATGATTGGACCATTGCTCAAGACTTGTGGAAAGCTTTGGAAGGGCACTGCCATCAACCTTGAATGCCACAGCATTGAACGAAGCAGATACCTGGTGCTGCCCCTCATTCATGGCTCGCATAAAATCCAGAGTTGAGTGGCCACAATTCGCGGCAACATGGCCCAATGGATTGGAAGGTCGCAACCCCCGCCTTCGGGCAAGGATGCTGCAACAAACGGACCGCTCCTACCACAAGGACTTGCAGTGTTTTGGCCTGTCAAGGATTGGCTGCTGCACCAAGCCCCGGTTCGCGAGGGGGGGGGCTCTGCCCGAAACCTTAGTGTCGTAATTGGCTTCTGCTTGGGTTCCACGTTTTGACGCACTGAGAACCAGCTCCCCGCACAGGGTCGAGGGTTGAGCCTGACATGTCCAAACCCACCCATCACGCCGCCTCCAGGGCGGGAACTTGGCGATGTTGACCTTGCTGCGGCAGCCTCAGGGCCAAGGCCGCCAGTTGGGCCTTAAAAAGCTGCCACTTGTTTCACAACCCCGAAATTCTATAGCATGCCCACCAAATATCAGGGGGTTGGCTTTCCCGTAAAATGTCCTGGCTCCTTGGAATGAACTGTTTGCCCAAGTTACGGGTAACTTGGTGGGCTTGAGTGACTACTCAAGTTCCTAAAAACAAGAGCAATGTCAATTCTCCCAACTGGATTCCCCAATTTCTTAATACCTTCGCGATGGCAGCACGGTCAATCGTTTAATTGAAGACATCTTGGGCAGGCTTTCCTCAATGACTCAAGAAGAACGGTATGTGGATCTGTTCCCATTCTGAGCTCCTATTTCTGGAAACGCGACAATGACAGTTTGCCATGGCACTAAGTTGCCATTCTCCTCATCTTCGACCCCATGTCACCCTTGCATCTCGCGAATGCGAACTAACTCCATCCATAGTTAAGAACGTCTCCTCTCACAAGGAAATTCTGCTGGCTAGGCTTCTTGTTAGCAACTATGTTGGCGTTGATTTCCATGGCCTTGATTCGACTCAAGGAGGACAAGATGGATGAGGAGGACAGGAGGAGGAGGAGGAGGAGGAGGAGGAGGAGGAGAAGGAGGAGGCCCGCTGCTCAAGCGCGATGCAATCCCCCCCCCCTGAACCCCCAACCGGGCCCTGCCTGAGCGAAGGTGCAGACCTCCGTGTACCGACCAGACCGAATGTATACGTTGGCTGTTTGTTTTTCTGGGGTTCTTCTGTTTCAGGCTTCTTTGAGGGTTGTTTTAAATGTTTTAGGGTTGTTTGAAAGTTTGTTCTGTCTTAGGGTTGTTTGAAAGGGTGTTCTCCTCTGAGGGTAGTTTAAAGGGACGTGTTAATTTCTTTTTAGGGGCTTTCTGTCCAAGTGCTGCGCAACCATTCCTTCTCGAGACCAGAAACCGTGCTTGCCTCCTCCGGTCATACCGGCTGCACTTCACAAGGGGATTTGGGCTGTGAGCAGTGCTGCGGGCTCGGGGGCTGCTGATGTTCAGAGCACATTGATACTGCACATCTGTTCATTGTGTTAGCCCAATGTAGTGTTGGGATAATATCGATGTAGTACATCAAAGTGAATGTTTGCCCCCGTCGATCCATTGCCGCACACAGCAAAATTCAGGACCCGGCAGATGCAAAAAGGATCAACCCTGGTTGGCCCCGACAAAAATGGAAGTTGGTGAACTCAATACCTGTGCCGTGCCGCATACAAATGGCATCCACAATGAGTCTGCCCTCCTGCTGCAATCAGGGACTCTGTGCCCCTTTTCAAAGATATCTTTCTTCACTTCCCCCTTTGTCCGTGGAAATATAGAAAAAGAATCGCGCGCGGATATCCTGAACAGTGTGCCTCTGCATGTCCATTTTGCGGGAGGGCCAGCCAACCACCATAGGGGGTGATTGCTCATTTTGGCCAACATCCACTCAACTTGTTGTTTTATATGGAACACTCCAAATGGTTGGTGGACATGAACCCCAACCTAGATGATGTCCACCAAAGGGTCCCATAGAAATTCATACCCATTTCTCAAAACTCACGTTCGCTCCCTTTCTGCCTGCCACTCGCCGCAGCATCGCAGCAAAAGCTCGCCGACGCTAGGCCATGGGACGTGTCGCGGCGCAGGGTGAGCGCATCGTGCGCTCAGCAAATCGCAAGCACAACGCACCCGAAAGTAACCAACAATTAGGTGGGGGTGTGCATTGTTGAGGGCATCTTTCTCACCTTGATTGAAGGGGAACCCAAAGAAGAGCTTGATACACACTCAGGTATTGAAAGCGTCACCTCACTTTGCTCCAAGCGTGTTCATGTTTGTGCAAGGCAACGGGCTCTGTGTGTGTGTGTGTGTCTGTGCTCACATGTGTAGGCGCAAATCAATATAACCATGGCAACTACGGCTTTCCATGTGCCCTTGTCGAGGTGCAAGCATGAGCTCCATGCAACTGCTAACTCAGAGCCTGTCACACGCTCCGCGAGCACTCCTTTGACACTTGCTCGGCCACAAAAGTAGATTGACCTGACCAAAGAGACCAGTGTCCAAAATGTCAGAAGGGCAAACGGTTTGGGCAAAGGGCAAGCGGAGAACATGTGGGCGCAACAAATGACCAGTAGATCTTGGCGTGTCGCCCATCTTCCCACAAACAGCAACAATGGATTTGCCTGGCCGACCCACATGAGATCGGCCCTTTGCAGATTCACGAAGGACCTCGGATAATTGTTTTGTTCCAGAGAAGGGTGCTACGTTCCCGTTTCGAGGGGTGCTGAAAACTCCGCAAAAGTCTTTGCACGGGAGTACGAACTGAAAACTGTGAATTGCATTCACCGGCTCCAGAACAATGCGCAAACGTGGCAAGAGATTGCACATCTCTCAGCAAAGATGACGATCTTCCCGCAAAACTACTTCGCAAGAAAGACCTCCGCGTCAAAAGAAGACACACTGGCGACCCAAGGTGCTCTCCGGTTGCATTCAACTCGGGTTTCGATTCATCAAAATGTTCCAAGGGAGGCACCAAAGGACTGACATGTCTCCATGCCACCCGCGCATGCCAACAATCCACCAAACACATGATCGCCTGCCGGGTTTGCACACAGAGCAAGAGCCGCAAAGGAAAAGGGTCGGGAAGAGTGTGTGTGGGGTGGAGTCTAGGGCTCAAGAAGCCCATGCGCAGGAAAGCCTTTGTGAGCTCCCAAGTAAACGCTGGCACGCTTGCAAATGCTTTAAGGGCATACCAAGGATGATTGGATAGACTGGTGTAGCAAGCCACCTGCTTGCATGCACAAACAGCTCTTCGTTATCCACAAGGATAGTTGCAAGGAGGCTCCTTTTCTGAGCCCCAGGGCCGATACCAAAGAAATGCGGTAAGTTTGAGTATGTCATTTGCTTGGAGGCCAACAGTGCTTCTTCAAACTGCCAAGCAGCCAGGATCAAGTCTGGAAAAACAAGGTCACCGGTCGCCGTGGCACAGAGCGACTGAGGCTTGCAAACCACTTTGCTCGCTCCCCGATTTGATACCACCGGCACCCAGCAAACGCCTTTTCTCGCACTGCTTACTGCGTGTTCAAAACTAATCGGCCTACAAGTATTAGAGCGCGGCAGGCTTGCTACTGCCACAGGAGCGAGGTGTCTTTTCTGTTTCAATTCTTGCGATTTTGAGGCAAAGGCCCGGCAAAGTCTGCCACCAGAATCCACCGAACACCTCCCTCCCAAGACTGTGCGCCCCTGCCACGCTTGAGCCCCAGAGCCCGGAGGGCACGATCGTGCCACGCCCTTGGGTCCGATAAGGCCCCAGAGCCTTCTGCCAGCTCCACTGGCCACAAGAAAAACCAATCCCAGCCATCCGCCCATCCGCCTCTTTTTGCCACTCGACTCGAGACTCGCGCGCATGCGCTCAGAAGTGGTGGCCGTAGATCATGTTCTCGTATGTGGGGTACGGATACAGGCTCGACTCCATAACCTTGTGCCACCAAAGATATCATTGGCGGGGCCAAAACTACTCCAAGGGCTAGATGTACAGGTGAAGGGCATTGAAAGCTGTAGCGGGCGGTGACACCAACACGGTAACATGCTTGTTGGTGCCTAACTGGCTGAACCAATGCTTCAAGCTGGTTTGGGGGGACACGTTGTAGCCACAGACCACTTTTTGCCTTCCCGAAAACCTAGGCTAGCAACCGCCTCGTAGAGTCGGAGCTTTCCTGGACGGACTTAACCAGTGCTGCCTTTCAAACAAAGTTGCCCCATATGAAAGGCCAAATAATCACTAACAGTTTGCCCTTAGAATGACCTAATTTGGTTTCCACCCCAACCATTATACGTGTAGGCCCTCATATTGGGCAAAAGCTTCCAAGATCACAAGAACTCCTCGAAGACAAAACTGCTTCCTTCCCAGTGATACAAAACAACCTTGCCATCACGATCCCCAAGCTTGGCTCCGAGCAAACAGCTGAGATGATAGTCCGAACGGGCGTAGAAATGGGTTCCCAACTCTTTAAGTCGCAGCACGAAGCGCTGCCGGCAGTTCGGACAGATCACACCGCGCCAAATGGCCGGGACTTGGAACACCTGTGCTCAAGAGCTGTCCGCGTCAAATAGTCACCGTAATCAATCAATCAATCAATCAATCAATCAATCAATCAATCAATCAATCAATCAATCAATCAATCAATCAATCAATCAATCAATCAATCAATCAATCAGTCACCATGTGCGGTGTTCTAGGCAAAGTCTCATCACAAGCCAGAGTGAGTGAAGCCGCCTGACATTGCCTAACCCTGCAATCCGCGTTCTGGTGATCAAATGGCCCAATGGATCCGTCCGCGTCCCCAAGCCGGAGGTTTTCGTGCAAAGGTGGCAACTATTGGGTTTGCAGTTGCAGGGCTGTTGGGGCCAAGGTCCAAAAAATACAACCCGAAGTATCCCCAGTTTCCGCAAGTGTAACCAATATTATCCATATACCTACAATAACCTGTATCCCAAACTGTAACCCATCATACCCATAATATAACCAATAGCATAACCCGAAATATCATGTGGATTGGATATGCTCACCGAACATCATACTCATACAACCCATAAAGTACCCACACAGTATGATTCATAGAAGCATCATGACCAGCACTACCCCAGATGGAACCGATGAGGGATGTCTTTCTTCGAGGGTGACTTTTTCCTGCGTTGGTTAGGAAACATAAACGGGAGCCACTCATTATTTTGGGGGGAGGTCGTCAGAGAAAGGCAAAACCCAATAGCCCACGCCACCCATACAACCCAGAGTAAACCACATAATTCATAACCCAGCAATATATCCTGACGGTCCTGTATTCCCCCATACAACCACGATAGTCCAAACTCTAATCCTTTTTGCCAGTAGTACCAACAACCCCCCCTGGCTGGTACATGCAAACCTCACGTTTGCTCTTTTGCTCGTTGTTTTCTGGCAAAAACATATTCCCAATTCCTGCTCATGTGCCCCAAAAAGCCAGCCAGCTAAGCAACACCTTTGATCCAAAAGCCAGCTTTCACTAAGCTGATCTTGACCCTTCCGTCCACTTCAGAGGCTTGGAGAATGCTTCCAACCCCGTTGTTCAATCTAAGCTGCGCCCTCCGCCTTGTCCACGGCGGCACGGAGCGCCACCATCTGGGGCTTCACGGTGTCGCAGAGATACGTGGCCTCCGCCGCCAGCCCCGAGTGCCTGGGTTCCATGCTTCAGATTCCAGCTGAGGGCACCCTTGGGGTTGTTCAAAGGGAAAGCAAACGTCGCAACCCGTGCACTTGGCTGTGGGTCAAAGATGGGTACGCAAAATGGAACCCTGGTAAATGGAAGCCAGGATTAAAACCTGGGGTCCCCTGGTTTAATTTTGACCCACACCCACTTCGGGGTGTCTGACCCCTCTCCAACCAAGTGGCGGCTTCTTCTCGTAGATCTCCTTGAGCTTCGTCAGCTGGTCTACGATGGCCTCGTAGGTGGCCTTGCGGCTGGCCCCCAACTTCTCGAAGCCCTTGTACTTCTCCAGGTCCTGGTCTGAGGCATGTGGGGTGGGGGGGGGAGGTTGGTCTCCACGGGGGTTAGATTTGGACCCCCTTTTGGTGGGTAAAGGGAAACCAAAAGGAAACCAAAGGCTATGAAGGGCTTGATGAAACACTCAAATTCGGCGCAGCTGTCGCTAACCCGTCGTCGATGGCCTTTCTCGCTGCCCAGTCACCATATCACGCGAACCCGCTGAGAGGGTTCCCACTGTCAACCCACAATCTGTAAGGACTTGCCACCCCCATCTTCGAAACGTGCTCCGGAGAAGCTGGTGGAGAATGTGATTCGCCGCGAATCATCCCGACTCCGAACTCCCCAACTCCCCGATCCCGAATTCCGAATCCCGAATCTCGAAGCCGGACCAAAGTCCCGCATCCCAAATCCCAAATTCCGAATCCGAAACCAACCCTAAACCAACCTTAAACCAGCCCTACATCAACCATCTCAAGAACCAACCCTAAACCAACCCTCAACCAGCCCCAAACCAACCCTAAACCAACCCCAAACCAGCCCTAAGCCAACCCTAAACCAACCCTAAACCAACCCCAAACCAACCCCAAACCAGCCCCAAACCAACCCTAAACCAACCCTGAACCAACCCGAACCCAAAAACCCACAGACCAGCCCCAAACCAACCCGAAACCAACCCTAAAAACCAGCCCTAAACCAACTTTAAACCAACCCTAACCAACCCTCAACCAACCAAAAACCAAACCTAAACCAACATTAAACCAGCCCTAATCCCCAAATCCCGAGTCCCAAATCCCGAATCATGGGGCCTTCCCAGTCCAGAATTCGGAATCCCGAATCCCGAATCCCGAAAATGTGATTCAGTCCCTAAAATGGGATTCGAGTCCCGAATCCCGAATCCCGAATCCCGAAAATGGGAATCGAGTCCTGAATCTCGAATCCCGAGTGATTTAATCCCGAAATTGGGATTCGAATCCCGAATCCCGAAAATGTGATTTAATCCCTTTAAAATGGATCACCACCCATCTTCACCTGTTAGCGGCTTGGTGGGAACCGCTCGCTGTTTTTTCCGAGACGCCCAATGGTTTCGACCAAACGATTTCCTTAAGCAGTCTTTCCCTCAGTTGGCCAGTGACCCTGATAAAAGGAGAAACCCTTTTTAGGGCTGGGCCATTTGTAGTCAAATACAAGGGGACTCAACATCTCAGCTTACATTCCGACACCAAATCCCGCGGCGTCTCCTTGGCGCAGGCAGGCAGGAAGCCGGTCTCCACCATCTGGATCATGGTGTCCACCTCGCAGCAGAGGCTCGAGATGTAGTTCTCCTGGGCACTCGGCCGAAGCCCCACACGGGTCAAACCACCATTAAAACAATGGGGGTTCATATAACCACCATTTTTTGCCCAAGGACTGTCATCATCTAAATTGGGTCAACCTTTGTTTTAATGGGGGTTGAACCCTAGGGCCCAGAAGTGCTTTGTTATCCGCGGCTTAGGAGTTCTCAAGGTGTGCCTGTCTGCGTGCCACGAGATCGGGATCTTAAGTGGCTCCCGCCACTTTCTGAGATCCCCGCGGATGAGCGATGCACAGAACCTGATGCTGTCCCCCCCCCCCTTTGCCTCAGAAAGCAACACCTGGTAGAGTTCGCTCCCGGCTGTCGTGTGGGTGAGGTAGGAGAAAGAATCCCGATGGAAATCAACCTCAACATGGTTTAAAACAATGGAGCCACACCTCGATCTTAAGTGATATCAAAGCTTCAATGCGTTCAAATACGGGTGTGGCTCAAAACTAAAGAGCTAGGGATACGCTGGTTTTAGTCTTTGGTTCCATTTGCCCAGGGTGCCATGTTGGTAAACTTCTTTTTGAGCCACAGCCATACCGGCCTTTTCAATCCGAACCGCTCCCTGGTTCTCGGTCCAAGGTGCATACATGACCTCCTGGCGGGCCTCCGTCTCTTCGGCGGAGTAGATCTTCAGGGTCTCGAAGAGCCTCATTTGGCTGTGGCTGAAAACCGTTTTGGGATCCCATTTTGGGGTAGGTGAATTCACCACCCATTTTAGAACCTATTTCAGTGGGGATTGGGATGTTCATTGGGGGTACGGGCTTTTGACCCATGGCCATTTCACACCGAGAGCCCGAGGTCAGGGGAGCCTCTTGGTGGAAAGCTAAGAGGAACTCTCAGGCATCCTGAGCGTCAGGGAGGACTTTTGTTTTGCTGCTTGGAAAAGCTTCGAGATTCAAGCGCCAATTGCGTCTAAAGTTGCACATCCCCTGAATGCTGCTGATGCCAGGGCAAAAACAACGACACATGAACATCCTCATGTTGTGCCCGCACAAATCCATTTGTCCGACTTATCATTTTGAATGATTTGAGCACCGGTGCATTGCTCCTGCCTTGGTGTTTGAGTACCCCACAACCACATTCTAGTCATATTTAAGCCTTCATGGCAACCATCCACGCAGCCACACACACACAAAAATAAAAAGAAAAAACACTGCCGAGGACGCACTCTGGGAACCTGGTTCAAAACCAACCATGTTGGATTTCCCTCCAAAACCAGGCCTCTCTCTCGCCAGCCCCCTAAAAGTGAACAGAACCAAACCACAAAATACAAACCTCATACAATTAAAAGAAAAAAGAAGAAAAAGAAAAAAAGGCGATCCGACCACATGGAGGCCACCACAACTCCCCTCTCACCTCACGCCTCGCCTACGAGCCGAGGGGCTTCTTGTTCTTGTCGGAGCTCCAGGTGGCCACGGCCTTGGGCGTGGTGTTCAGATTCGGCAGCCCGCGCTTGGAGGCCTCGATGGGCCACTCCGCCGAGTAGCCGTTGCCCGTGAAGATCACGTGCTTGTTCTCCTGGCCGGGCTCCCAAAAACTCCCCGAAGTGGGGGAAACAGGGGAGAACATCCCGAGCAGCTCGTGCTTCAAAAGGGGAAACGGGGGAAAGCCGGCGAAGCTCGTGGTTCGCCAAGGGGGAAAAGGTGGGAGGCCCCGGGTGTTTGAAGGCGTTCAAGAACTGTGTATGCGGTTCAAAAAGATTGATTTGACAGGACCCCGAAATGGGATGACCAAAAAAAGTACTTGGTTCAGAATACGGAAATGGGACACCAGAATTATAGGTATCCCACATATGTGTACATATATATATACATTTATAACATTGTATAGTGTATCCTCACATAAAATAATCTATCAATGGCAATAAGTGGTATTCTGGCTCGCGGGATGTGCTCTTCTCCTTATCACAACCCCCATACTACCCTCCCAACAAAAAAAATGGTGCACATCCGGACCCTAGCAACTGCAAGCCAATTGTCTGCCAAAAACACGAAGGAAAGGCTTAAAAGGTCTCAGCTCTGGGTCAACCCATTGAGACAGCGTTCAAAACCGTCGATCCAGCTTTTTTGGCCAATGACCGGAAGAGTGCATTCGCCATCCGCTGGAGTTGTATACTCGCACTTGTCCAAAGGACCTGAAAATACCGGGCACCCTTTTGGTTGGGCATTTCGAGCTTCGCCGTTTTGCATAGGTTTCTTGCCCACTGCAACACGCACGCCCACGGGCGAATACGTCTCGGGAGGTGCAGGTGCATACTGGCCCAAATAATCTCTAGGGGTTTCTCAAAATAGCGGTCAAGAAATGTGGCATTGTTGGTTCCCTTGAAGCACCAACCAGAAGGGGTCCGCCATTTTAAGAAGCCCCCATATGCTGCTCAATGAGAGCAAACTACGTGCATGTTGCAGTGGCCATCCAACACAAGCTAATTAGCACAAACTGCCGCGAACACTCCACATGGCCTTGTTCGTTTCTTGGAATACCATGCCACCCCCCACATCCACTGCAGTCCCGGCCTTGTACATGTCAGCCACGGCGTCCCGGTGGCTCTTCCCGCCCTCGATCTTGCTGGCCAGTTCAGCCATGCCTGAAGGGGTTTCCTTCTCGATGAAAAAGGGGTTGACCTTCAAAGCAAAAAGATCAATCAGCTCGCCAAATTGCCATGTCTTTGTTTAGGCAACCACCTCAAAAGTGGTTGGCGGACATGAAACCACACCCAAATGATGTCCACCAAAGCGTCCATACATAAAACTCATGCCGACATGGCTGCGGGCCAGATTCAGGTACCCAAAACGTAACCCTGGTAAATGGAAACATGGACCAAAACCTGCGGTCCATGTTCGGGTAGCTTCATTTTGACCCATACCCACATGACGGGCGGGGGAAAAATATGGACCCCGCGCCTGCGCTCATCACGGCGTTGCAGACCATCACCGGCAGGCAGCAGTTCTGCGACGAGCCCACCGCTCGGAACCTCCAAGGCTCGCTGGCATTGGTCCACCCGGGGGGGGGGGGGCGGAACCCGGATCCCAATCCGTGGTGGAACAACGGATTGGTAAATCACTACCAGATTTGACATCCTACTGGATTTGACAGAGGGTTCTGCTGGTATCCAGCCCTGGTCGTCCATGGGAGACCGTGAAGCTCCGTCAAGCATCCGTCTTCTGCTCTAGCATGGGTGGGTGGGTCCAGTCACCGATGGTATTCAAGTTGCAGCTAAGGGTGTTTTATCTGCAGCTTCCGGCGGGTCCCGTGAATTTTGTTTGCTCCACAGATCTCCCCTCTTGAATGAAACGTGCCGAAATATCACTTGTGTCTTGTTTCATCTCGCTTCTTCAAAGAAAAAATGGCTGGGCCTTTTGAGAGAGGAGCACAAAGCGTCGAGGTTGCCTATGGGTGATAAGCCTTATAGACGTGATTGATCAGCGCAAGAGGAGAGGATTTGGGGCTGAGCAAGAACCAAACGTACAACGCGAGACAGCCAGCTCCCACACCAGCAGCTTTGTCCTGACATCTCAAACCCGTCAACTTGACAAATCGGTGAGAGCAGAACCACCACTGGGAGCTCTACAGTGGGAAAGTGGCTCGATTCCCTTTATGTTCTCAAGCCGGATGATAAACCTGTAAGGCAAGTCTCAGCAAACCTAGCCGCCAGCCGACTCCGCCAAAGGCGCTCGAAGCGATTTCCGCAGAAGGGGAAGGGCGCGGTGCGGTTGCGGTCCTCCACGTTGGCCTCGATGTGCATGGCAGCCGAGCAGCCCGTTTCCTAGCGCGAATGGGCGAGGAAAAAAATAGCTCGGAGTGCGACTCACAGGTTCGTAGTTGGGTTTGGAGGTGAGGAGTTTGCACACCCCATCTCTAAGTCATTGTGGTTTGCTCTTTCAACATGGTGCATCTATCATACAAGCAACAGTAGTCATGGTAACCTCCTCTCACCCGTGTCCTGTTCACATTAGCCTAGTACGCAAAAGCGCAGCCAGCTCCCCCTGAAAGTGCAACTCACCCAAAACCGATACCCTAGTAGCGACTCGCGTCAAAAGGTTGCCACAGCAGCTGCGGCCGCAACCCCACCATTCCGCACGCACGAGCACGAACAACGTGATGAAGTCTCTCAAAATTAGGGGTCCCCCCACAATGGTGGCTTTTTCCTTTTGGCTTCCCTTTCAATACAAACCAACGCCACGAGTCATTTACTTCTCACACCAACATGAAAGGAAGGCCCACATAGACTTTCCCCGAGGTTCTACACGAGGCCGAGGCAGCAAACCTAGGCTGTCAAGGGCACTTCAGTTGGCGGTTCTCTTTCCATCCATTCCGAAACCCATACCTGAACCTGCGCCCTATTTTTTTGACAAGGGGATGGGTCAAAATCCAAATCGTACCCCCAGTGAACATCCCAATCCCCACCAAAATCAACTACAATGGGTGGTGAATTCATCACCAACCAAAATGGTACCACTCGTTTTGACCCACAGCCAAGGGGGTTGACCATCTTCGACGCGGTCGGGGGTCCTGCTTCTTCTTCTCCGCCTTGTAGCCCAACAAATCCCCGCCCGCCACGATGCTCTCCACGTGCTGCTCGAAGCCTTGGCCTGGGTACCTGAGCCCATGGCGTCCCATGCGGACCATGCGATTTAACGGCTTCACCGTAAAACGGGTCCCCTTGGTATGACAGCACCAACCCAAACTAATGGGTTGTCTAACTTCCAAAAGAAGATATGGCACGGGCTTCCGATCGCATTACAAGGACAGAAGGAAAAGCTGGCGAGTGGTTGATTTGTTTGACCCAAGTGAGAGAGCGCCGGAGCCGGTCCCACTCCGCAGTGGACCTGATGATTGCTATCAGAATGGCTGCGTGTTTCTGTGGGGAGGGGGCATTACTGTGCATTACCTTGTGAATTGGATATTGGCTCAGCAGGTAGATTGAATAAATTGCTTGAAGCCTCCAAATCTGTGTCATGTATCACTATGCATGCTTGTCAAGATTTTGATATCATCATGGGTTCGTCTTCCAAAAGGCACGCAATGCATCAAATCAGCTGGGCAGCCATCAGTGCGAGTGCAGCAGAGAATGCAATTCCACATGAGTGTGAACACCAAAAGTCATAGCCGTATTCTGCACCGCCTGACACCTTCCCACTCTGAAAGAAAGAGGAGGTGCTGTGGGCAGGGATCTTTAACGCAACAAAAACTGGACCTCTTCGTATCTTCGCTTGTCCAACCAGTTTCATCTTGAAACAACCCGGAGTCTGACTTTGATATTCCCAATTCGTGAAAGCCCCAGCTTGCACGCATCTGACCCCATCCTCACCCAAGCTACGGAACCAAAAAGGGCGCTCGAGCATTTTGGGTGAGGGCGAACCAACAAGGCGTCCCCGGCATCTACGCCACCAGCCCAAGAGTTCCCGGTGAACCAACAAGGCGTCCCCGGCATCTACGCCACCAGCCCAAGAGTTCCCGGTGAACCAACAAGGCGTCCCCGGCATCTACGCCACCAGCCCAAGAGTTCCCGGTGAACCAACAAGGCGTCCCCGGCATCTACGCCACCAGCCCAAGAGTTCCCGGTACCTCAGACTGAAGATCTACGCCACCAGCCCAAGAGTTCCCGGTTCTACGCCACCAGCCCAAGAGTTCATCTACGCCACCAGCCCAAGAGTTCCCAACAAGGCGTCCCCGGCATCTACGCCACCAGCCCAAGAGTTCCCGGTGAACCAACAAGGCGTCCCCGGCATCTACGCCACCAGCCCAAGAGTTCCCGGTGAACCAACAAGGCGTCCCCGGCATCTACGCCACCAGCCCAAGAGTTCCCGGTGAACCAACAAGGCGTCCCCGGCATCTACGCCACCAGCCCAAGAGTTCCCGGTGCAACAAGGCGTCCCCGGCATCTACGCCACCAGCCCAAGAGTTCCCGGTGAACCAACAAGGCGTCCCCGGCATCTACGCCACCAGCCCAAGAGTTCCCGGTGCAACAAGGCGTCCCCGGCATCTACGCCACCAGCCCAAGAGTTCCCGGTGAACCAACAAGGCGTCCCCGGCATCTACGCCACCAGCCCAAGAGTTCCCGGTGCAACAAGGCGTCCCCGGCATCTACGCCACCAGCCCAAGAGTTCCCGGTGAACCAACAAGGCGTCCCCGGCATCTACGCCACCAGCCCAAGAGTTCCCGGTGCAACAAGGCGTCCCCGGCATCTACGCCACCAGCCCAAGAGTTCCCGGTGAACCAACAAGGCGTCCCCGGCATCTACGCCACCAGCCCAAGAGTTCCCGGTGCAACAAGGCGTCCCCGGCATCTACGCCACCAGCCCAAGAGTTCCCGGTGAACCAACAAGGCGTCCCCGGCATCTACGCCACCAGCCCAAGAGTTCCCGGTGAACCAACAAGGCGTCCCCGGCATCTACGCCACCAGCCCAAGAGTTCCCGGTGAACCAACAAGGCGTCCCCGGCATCTACGCCACCAGCCCAAGAGTTCCCGGTGAACCAACAAGGCGTCCCCGGCATCTACCGACAACAAGGCGTCCCCGGCATCTACGCCACCAAGACAAGGCGTCCCCGGGTGCCACAAGGCGTCCCCGGCATCTACGCCACCAGCCCAAGAGTTCCCGGTGAACCAACAAGGCGTCCCCGGCATCTACGCCACCAGCCCAAGAGTTCCCGGTGAACCAACAAGGCGTCCCCGGCATCTACGCCACCAGCCCAAGAGTTCCCGGTGAACCAACAAGGCGTCCCCGGCATCTACGCCACCAGCCCAAGAGTTCCCGGTGAGCCAACAAGGCGTCCCCGGCAACGCCAGCGCCCGCCCTCCCAAAAACAAAAAAATCGCGGAGCGAGCCCCGCGACGCGGGGAATCTCCGAGGCGCAGGGAGATGATGGCGGGCGGCGCCTCCTGGGCACCCAGGCGGTGGTCGTTGCCCGAGTGGGCCACCGTGCACCGCACCATCTCCTCGCTCTCTTGACCGAAACCGGAAATGGGAGGGAGGAGCCAGTGGAGCAAACCCGCCCCTTCCTGGGAATTCTGACTGAACCCGGTTCCCCTCTGTTAAAAAGAAAAAAACTGGGGTTAAGCCTTGGCAAAATCAAAAACCGACCCTGTAGAGGCTAGTTGGGAGGTTGGCTGCACGTTCTCGCCCCTATCTTTTCGCACAGGCAAAGAGTGGACACAAGTGTCAACTCCTTTCAGGTGGCAACAGCCGAGCCAAACTCGACCCTCAAAGCAGAGGACCCTCCAAATGGATCCTCAAGTTGGAGGACGCTCAAACTTGTTGTCCTTTTGTTCCCTTGGTGGTTGTCCTTTTGTTCCCTTCAAAAGGACCCCCCCCCGCGTCACCCCGGCATCCACGTCTCATCTCACCCACTGCGGCCGGCAGACGTTGTACTGCGCCAGGCCGTAGGCCAGGCAGGCGATGGCCGTGACGTAGAGCTTGGCGCCGGCCTGCGGTTCTCACGGAATGTGGCATCCCACTGAAGAAGTACTCGAGTCTACATATATATATATATATATGTGTATATATATATATATGGCAGACCAGAAAGTGTGCACCAAAGCAAACAGTAGTAAGTCCATCTCGTCTGGAACGGATGCTGCGGCCATATAATGGCCACCGGAAATACATAAGAATGCAGCCAAATTGGGAATCATGTCTCGACTTACGACCCAATTTCGCGTGGGCCGCACTCTCGCCTGGATAGTCGCACCAACTCACACTTGGCTCACAACTCGCTGTCTCGCGACGGACGACGGACGTGGCAACATGGCTGTAAGGGTAGATGGTGACTTGCCAGTCCTTCAGAGCATTTCAGCAAAGCGATTGTGGGCATTGCCCTTGGCTTTGTGAGACGCCTTGCCACTAACAAATGGACTTCCTGACAAGACCTATCTTTGATTCTCCAGTCTTCCAAACCTGCGAGAAGACCCAGCAGCGGCAACCTGCCCCGACCCCAAACAAAGATGCCACTTAGATCTCCCTATTCTAACCCCCCTGCGGCTTGATTTCTCTGATTGGATTCTGATGAAATCTCTGTGGCCACTTTCTTGTCGGGACAGAAGAAGCCCCCAAACCTTCCCCCATTCCCCCATTCCCCCAAGTTTCCCTGTAGAAGAAGCCCCGAAGCCTTCTTCCAACCACCTCCCCCCATTTCACTCCTACCCCGTTTTGGGCGCCTCGTTCTTGCCGGGGTAGAAGAAGTTCAGGCCCGTGTCAGTGCCGATGGACCAGTTGGCATGCTTGCCGCTGCCGTTGATGCCCGCGAACGGCTTCTCATGGAAGAGAACCTGCCATGGCTTGGTTCGTCAGCTTCCCTCACGGGTGGTGTGCATTGCCCGGAGGTTTGGAGGTGTTGGGTGGCTTCCCGGCTTCGCCGCCTTTGCAGGGCTGGCCCTGATTGACAGCGGCGTCCACGGGCTCCATCACTTTTGGGAATCCCATGTGCACCGGGGTCATGGCAATCGGGTGAGCAATATCGAAATCCACACACGGAAATTAATTCCTGCAAGTACTGCCCCTTTGCTGTTGCAACCTGGTTTTGAAGTGGTCTGCCCAATCTAAAGAATTGCAAGGCTTTGTCGCACTCATCTCTGATTTCCGACGAATGGCCCAGGCCTGCAATCCCATCTTGGCCGCCTCCCGGTTCATCACCTGGCGATTCTGTGGCTGCCTCCAGTTTGGCTCAAAGAAAGCGGTTGTGGCTTATGGCCTCTCATGACGCTCAAAAAAAGGGAAGCTCAAAAAAGATACACCCATTGCTTGGTGAAAGGGCCGGCCATCATAACTGTCCAAGAAAAATGCATCGGCCACACTCAATCCTGGTCGGCTCGATGCAACTCAAATTGAAACCCCAGTGGTGAGTGAGCCCCCAGCGAGGAAACACCCAGCTCACGGGTCCTAAGCTCCCCCCCAAAAAAAACATGGGGTTGGTAGGGATGAGTCAGACTGAACCACCGTCCCGGCTGCAAAGCTGCATGATCTCCTGACCCCCGTAGGTCACTTGATGCACTGAATTTGAATCGGACTTGGCGTCAGGTCCCCCCCGTTTCCCACGGGTAGCCCAACAACCTCTGGGTCCTTTTTCCTTGAAGAGCTGCGCCTCGAGCTCCATTTGGAACCTCAAAATAGGACTCCGTCCGTTTCCCTAACATGGCAAGGGTGGCCTCTTGGTCAATAAGGTCAATCCCAAAACGGCCGCACCGGTCAGCCCCCGAACAGGTGAATCCTCATGGTGTTGGGCGGCCGAGCTCAAATATCAACTGAAAGGGGAATCCCCTCGGAATCCGATTTGAAGAAAAAGCTTCGTCTACCGACAAGTGGACCCGGAATCCCATTTATGGGAAGAAACTCCGCGAGGCCTCCATGAAGAGCACGTTGGAGTCGCAGGACACGTTGGCGGTGCGGAAGACCGGGGACATCTCGTGCTGGCCCGGGGCCACCTGGAAAACAGCAGCTGACCGCAGCGGGGGCGGGCGACGTCCGCGGCAAAGTGGGGGCGCCTGGTGTTTGACTCCCCGAATTCACAAACGTGGGATCCAAACGTCCCCAAAAGTAGTTTCCGTGTTGATGGGATCCAAACATCCCAAAAAAGGAGCTTCCGTGTTGCCGGCTTTTGGGGGGAGGTTAGAGCGAATTGGCCAACCGCCCGAGAATGTCTATTGCTGCAAGTCTCCGTTGCGCGGTTGCCATAATTTGCCGGACAAATATGCTTGCGTGCGCTTTCCCGCATATGCTAGCTGCCTCACCCGTGAGAACTATACAGGCACATGTGCCCCGTCACATGCCTACCAAGGTCCTGTGACCATGGCACACCAGGCTTCTTGGCTTTCTCCCTGAAAGGGACCCCCTGGATCCAAATTCGAGCTGAACCCCCCGGAGGTGCTATCAACATCAGTCACTGAAAGAAAAGGTCTTGCAAGAGCAAACTAGAAAGGACATTTCAGGCCATGGCCAAACCCTGTGCGGTCAAAACTCCTTATGCAAACCATCATTCTTTGAATTTGTGGTCTTAAATCCTGGGTGAAACCTACCGCCCCCAAGTAAAGGGGTAGTTTGACCCCGGCAGACAGCAATCTTCGCAGGATCGATCCATCATCCTTTCTAGCTCTCCATGCGGCCACTGCTATTTGGTTAAGAGGCATCCGCTCCTGCCAGGACCCGCAAAGTGGCAACAAAATCCTTCTACCCCCAAAAAAAATATGCGTGGCCCATGGAACTAAGAAGCTGACACCAAACATGAAGATGCGATTTCCTCAACGTCCAAGACAAGTTCTCAAGTTCATCCCCCGACCCAAACCCCAACCACAGACCCACCACGCATCGACGGCGCCTCGTTGTGCTTCACAGCCATGGGGCAGCCCACCTTCAGCATCTCCGCCTGCACGGTGTCCAGTAGCTCCGCCACCTACCCGGCCGAATCGAATCCGCCGAATCCGTGGAGAAAAATGGTGCCAGTCTTGCCAGTCGCTCTGTTTCGCCTTGGCAGAGGCGGAAATTTGCTTGGTTTCTTCACTGTCAATACTTGGGGAACGGGTGCTGCTGTCCATGCAACTCAGGCTGCATCAAGACACTCTAAATATGAGCGAAGCAACACTCAGGCACACTGTCTATATATCCCGCAGGAGTACTTGACGTGTCAGGGTCAAACTCACCATCTAGATCATGCTGATGATTCCACTACAAGGCACCCTATGATGGCAATAACATTTTGCGACTGCAGTTGTGATTCGCAAGCTCTCCCAGTCCACTGAAAGAACTCCCCTGTTGCTAGGGTGGTCATGGACCAATTCATGGGGGCGTTAATTGGACTGAATTGCAAGAGAAACCTGAACGATCTTGTGCAAATTAGAACATTGTCATATACTGCAATGTGAATTAATGTTTTGTGCCTCCCTTTGGAAGTCCCCTAGGACCATGCTCATGATATGTCCGCAAAATATCCGTCATTCGGGGGAGCGGTCGGTACTCAGAATCGGGGGGCAGGCGTAGAGTCACAGGCGCAAAAAGATGATTGCCAAGGAAACTTAACGGCCAGGATCCGCCATGCTCTCCTGCTTCTATCTAAAAAAAGACGCGTGCTCCCACAACAGACGAAACTCATCAAAGGCTATCTGTCTAATCGATACTCACAACAAACAACAGCAATATGTAAACTATGCAGCAAAATGGTTGGACTCGTAGTTCATGCTAGCGGGTGCCTGGGTCTGCATCTGTTCAAGGATTGCAAGGAGTGTCCATAGCATATCAATAATGTTTGGGTAGGTATCGATGATCGGGATGGTTTGGGTACATAATTTTGCCTAGAAGCACACACCAATGTAAGCACGGCAACCCACACCAAGGTTCCTTGCTAGTCCAGAGAATATGGCTGGATTCTCCATGAATTGATGTCAGATTTTAATGGCATGGAAACAACCGTGCAAATGAAAGTCCGCATAACGAATCTACATGTTACATATTGATATTCCGCGGCCTGCGCATCCTCAAGAAGAACACATGGGCTGTCAATGCATATAGCATCAGCATATGTTCTAAAGGAACCAACCAACCTTTTCAAGACACTCTGAAAAGTCCAGCTGTCAAAACAAACGGTTGGATCTAACATCGGCTACCGCAAATCAATGACCCCGGTCTGCTTCGGGCTTTCCTCATCTGCCCGAACAGGAGCGCCCGCTTCGACACGGGAGCTGAATGCCTTGCCGGGGACCGGCTGGAAGTAGTTGAGGTCCCCCTGTTGGTGCCTAGCTCCAAATGAGTGGACGAGGGAAATTCAAAGGACATGGGAAGCTTAAGGATGTTGGGAAATTGATGGGTCCCCCACACCGGTTGGGGTGGAAATTGAGTGGAAAGTCTGAACCCTCTTGTCTTTCTTGGAGACCAACAGAAAGAAAGTGTGTGTTGATCCTCAACAAGTTGTTACTTCATCCCTATATCCAGCATGGATCAGGTTTGGAGACATGGCCATTTCCAGAACGCATCAAAATGAGCAGGTCGCCCAGTCGGCCGGCACTGAAGCATGGAAACCTCGACGGAGGGACAAGCTGGGCCCTGTGAGCAAGCTGCACCAAGACTGAAAATCAAGATTCCAATCCAAGCGATACGTTCTTAAGCTCATTTAAAATTCCCTGAGCTACAAAACACCTGGATGAAGCCATGCTGCACATTGCAGGTCAAAGACCGCCGCCAGCTGGCTGGTTCATACTTCCCATGACCAGGCGCCAGAAACAGTGGAGACGACAAGAGGCAAGCAAACATCGTACCCTTTGACAGGCATTTCGGGCAAACACGAACCCTCGAGGTGTTTGTTTTTCTCTTTTTTCTCGCATTTCCAAGGCGCCGCGTGGGCAGCTTGCCGAAGAGGGTCCGTCCAGTGTTCACCAAATCCGGGCGCTTCTTGTAGCTCTCCGCGCTGAGCACGAAGAACCTAGCGATGGCTCGAATCGGATTGCGGTTGCAACCGACTTCCCGGGTTCTGCGTCGCTGATTGTTCATTGAATAAGCCTAGGACAAGCCTTTTGTACAAAATAGATCATCTGCCTCCATGACTTTATGATGTAAGCTCTTGGGGGATACGTTGGTGGAAAGATTGTGACATGTGTAGATTGGCATCCAAGAAAGGCAACCCAAAAGGAGGTTCCTCGAAACAGGAAGGCTTTTTGGGTTGCATGTGAGTCTGGATGGGAATTGTCCGGACCAAAGGCTTGGATCCATCCTCAAAGGAACCTTGGGTCCTGCTTCAGCTGCAACACCCACACCTCTCGATATAGGAAGGAGAAGAAAAGCAAGCAACTTCCTCTTCTGATGTCCAATGCTTGGATCACGAGAAGCTGTCACTGATTCGCAATCTGGTCAGGCGCGTTGAATGAACCCAGTATCTCTTCACAGAAGCCTCCAAAGGGTTCCTACAAGACTCGGCTGGATGGCTCCCTGCCGAGGTGCTCCTGCTCCCAGCCCAGATAGCTGTGCATGGTCTTGGCATCCGTGCCGATGCCAATGGCCTCGGGACCCGGAGCCATGTCGAGCCAAGTCATTTTTGAGGATTACGAAACCGGAGGTAGAGGAACCCCTGCGTTTTTGTGGTAAAGCACAAAGACACCCCACAACAACGGCAACAATACAGCAGCAAAGGACACCCCTAATGGATGCAGAAATGCATTCAGAAGATAGCTGGTTTCCAAATAAACGGGGGGGGGGGGGGGGGAGTTGGGCACTGCTCAAATGGGCAAAGCGGCTATTGGATGGCTTCCGAGAGCAACCAGAAACCATCAAAAGGGATGCCGGGGGCAATGCAAAAGGCTTGAAGATAGCACCCTTTCGGATTCATGACACACGCTATGAATCATCCATGCAAGTCTAGATGCAACCCAAAGCCTGTCTGCTCTTGATTCCTCCTCTAGGGCAATTCAGTGAAATCCAAAGTGGGTCCGGCTGAAAAGCTGTCTGGAAGGCTCGGTGGAGACTGGCCGATCTCAGCCCTTTCGGAATCGAATCGCGTAAAGGATCTGACCTGTGAAAGGCCCACTCCATCTTCGGGGGAACGAGTTGACCAGCGCAAAGTTCGAATAAGCTTCCTTTTGATCCCTTCCCACATACGAAGCATCTCCCAACAAGCAAAAGTTCCTCGAAATCAGGATTGCGTAAAAACACGCACGAAAAGATGTCCATAGCACAAGTTGGCTGATCAAATGTCATACATCACAGCTTGCCGTAGCGCTTGTCAATCATAACATATTCAATATGATGTCATCTGCTATTCTTCAACGGTATGTCCAGCACGAAGCTGGCCTGAGTCACTCTCAAAAACCTGGTACTAAAGGGGTCAACCCGAGAAATGTATCGAGCGGACATCCGCAATTGCTGGCTACCCGACTGTCCCTTACCGGCCTTCGAGCCCACAACCCTATTTACTTTTGACAGATGGTTTATATGGGCCTCACTCTAATCCCAGAAGACAGGCGGCAGCACCGAAAAACTAAAACGGGTGCGTCGGGTACCCTCTTTGTTGTTGGAGTTGAAGGGAAACCAAGGGAAAACCTCAATTTTGGGGGGTCCCCTAAAACCAGACACACCCAACTTGCCCTTTCAGGACTCAGTTTGGAATCGGTTTCGCCTTCAGCAGCCGCAGGCCGCTCTGCTTCACCGCGTCCATGGACCGCAGCAGCGGGGTCTTCTCGTCGATGCACTTGCCAAAGTGGGTCACAAAGGCCTCGAAGGGCAAATCGACGTGAACTTAAAACATCCATCGATAAGTTAGGTTCCAAAATGGTCATAAGGGGGGGTCTTTGCTTGATGATACCCGTTTTGAGGTTCCAAAATGGCGATAAGGATTTATGTGGGGGGAGGGTCTTCACATGATCCCCTTTTTGGGGATTTTGTTTTCAAGGGAAACCAAAAACACCCCTTGCAAGCATTCCCTAAGGCAAACGCAGAAAGGGCCTGATCCAGACCATGAAAGAGCCCCTGCACGAGAGGCCACTCCCCGAAAGAGTTCCTGGAAAGCCCTGCTCTCTGAAAAAACAAGTACCAAGCGAAAAGTCAGGAAAACGCTGAGAACTTTGGCCAAAACTGAGATACGCATCCCCGGATGACTTTGCAAGACATAGAAGCAGAATAATCTTCCTGTTAGATGTGGGTCGAGTGATGAATCACCTGCTGCTACGCAGCGCCATCCTCCACTTCGCACGTCGTATCACCACCCTCTGCCACTTCGTTCCACAAAACAACAACAATCATCCTCGTTTCTGGTACCCCGCTGGCTCGATTTCTTTACCCCGCTTCTCTGTGACAATGCAAAAACTATAAGGAGATAAGAAAACCAGCCATGATACCTCTGCAGCCATCTGCATTTACCTCCCGCCATTCCATTCGCACTTCCGGGCGTTTCCTTCTCCCCCCCCCCGGGCCGCGGGGCCCCCATGCCCCACGTCCCTTTCCAAGAAGTCGAGCAATCGCATCGATCTAAGGGGCGCAGGGGATGTAGAGGCACTGGTCCAGCACGAAGGGCGGCGAGGCGCGGTCCCAGGTGGTGAAGGCCGCCGCGGAGTGGGTCACGCGCAGCCCGCCGTTGGGGAAGGAGGACCCATCCGTCTCCCCCTGCGGCGGTCAACGCGGCGGTGGGCTGTCTTTGGGGAGAATGCGGGCCTTGAGTCTGCATCATGGGTAAAAAATGGGGGTCACCCCAAAATGACGGATACATTGGCCGAATTGTGTAGGGGTCATGAAGTCTCCGAGGGCATATCTGCGCTGCGCTTGATCTGGGCCGTCGCTTTCTTCCCCCACCAAGAAAAGCATGTGGAAACTTTGGGCTCCTTACCGGGTACCCCCCTTTTCCCCACATGTAGACCAACTTGTTGGAAGTACTCTCAAGTCTAACTCGCTGCCCGGCAATCTTTGAGCCTTCGCACCTTCATATTCCTTCGGTGTGGTTCAGAACTGTCTGCTCAACATGGCAGGATGGCAGTTGATTGAATCTGTGCGATTGGTTGCCTTGAATCCTTCAGATTAATGCAGTGAGAGCCGTATCCCTCCAACCACCTGTCAACCGGGCCGTACAAAGGAAACAAAATAAGAGGCAGGTTTGTCTCTGCAAATTGGGAATCCCAACCACGGTGAATGACTTGGATCGCATGAGTCAAGCCCAATCCGAGCTGCCAGGTCGCCTTGCTTGATGGTGCAAAGAAATGCTGTGTCACCATGGTTCCGCAAGATCACCCAAAAAAATACGTGATATAGGTGTATATATATATATGACACGTGTGTGTATATATATATATATGTATGTGGATCAGGTTCATCACTTCCTGGCATCACAGAAAGTGGCAACCCAAAAAAAAAATGACCGTGTCACGGCCAGTCCATGGCCTGGAACAAGCGCTCGTGGGGCAGGCAGGCCTCCGGAACCCGGACGCGGAAAAACGCGTCAAAACACGGCAAAGAAGAGGCCGGTGGGGCTCAGCTCAGGCTGGGACGCCGGGCGCAGCCCTTTGCCGGGCCAATGGAAAAAACAGGATCGCCCTTGGATTGAAGGTATTGCCAGGCAGTGCTTTCCTGCCGAGCATCGACTTTTCATGCCTTTGACAACCAAAAGCGTGCGCAAAACTCTTTGTTTGGGCCATTGCTGCCCTTCGTTGGAATCCTCAACCTGTTCAAGGCAGCACCCAACAAGAGCCATGACAAGCCCGGACAATCGCCCTGCATTTTGGACATTGGGTTGGTGGCTGCACGCTTTCATGGCAAATCCTGAGAAACACTGACCACTCAAATGCTCAAAATAACTTCGACCTCACTAGCTGCTCATCTTACACATGGCCTCTGTGTTTCCCGCAAGACATCAGACAATCAAATTGAAAACAGGCCGAAAAACAGGTGATCGACCAGAAAATGACAAAGAACTACAAGCTTCCGCAACCTTGCAGAACCACGATTATCAAAATCCCAAGGATGCTTGTGCAGAGATAATGGCAAGAACCATACAGGGATTCACGGGACAACTAAGGAAGCGCTTGGACCACAGCCACGTCCCACTGGCTCACTCGCTTTGTGCCAGCGCCTTCATGGGCTTTGTCACGTACTTGGAGCCGAACTCCAAGTCCTTGCGAACGCACCCCTGATCACCAAGACAACGGCGTCCTCCAGTGCAAAGGGAAATCTAGAAATCAAAGTGCCGAGAGCTTCATTAAACACGAGAGTCTGGTTGACAGCCAAGAAGCAATGCGCAAAACTTTGAATTTGGGCACAAATCTTCTGGCGAGGATCCTTCAGGGAAGCTTTTGAGTTTAGTGGGCCTGAAAGCCAATGGACACAGATTTGGTGTTTGCTTGCTATGAATCCTGGCGTATCTGCAAAATGGGTTTGAATCTCAATTAGGCGCCTTGGCTGGACATCATCTAGATGAGGCTGTATGTGCAGCAACCATGAAAAGGTTCCACTCGAAACAGTCGCCACATGCATTCTCACGGCTTTTGCCGTGAGGCAGCCAACCTCGCTGGGAGAAGGAAATGTCCAGGACGCAACATGCTGAACATGCAACCAGGGTTGGGACAAAACTCCGCCAAAGCAATAAGCCATTCCAAATCCTGAACCAGGAAATCCTTCTTTGGGTCAAGTCAGAGAAAGCTCTCCAGAACCATCTCACCGACACCCAAAAACACGGGCACACGCAACACATTGAGCCGCTTCAAGTTTGAAAGGGAATCTTCAGCCGAGTGACCGATAGCAATACCAATGCTTCAACTTCCATCTGGAGACCCCACACATGCGTGCAAGCCCAAAACCAAGGGCAGGGCTGAGGCTGTTTCCGGCAGACACCCCAGCAATGCAACGGACACCCCAGTCCGGGCATCAGAGTGACCCCTTGCTCAAATTGGAGTGAACCCAGAAAATAGGGACTCAACCTCAATGTGATGAAGTGCGTGCATGAAACGCAAGTCGATTCCGCAAAGCTCGCATGAGCTTCCACTAGCAAATTCCCTTGGTCGCACTACAAGCCTTGGACCTCTCCACCTCCGATTGATTTATGGAAAGTGCAGAATCAGAAGCGGGCAGGCTAGCCCTTAATACTCTAGAGGGTTTATGTTTGGGGCTTGCGATCTAGGAACCATCAAATGCTCGAACTTCTTGACGCGAGGAGTTGGAGTTAGTTGCGATTTCTGATCCCAGGATGAACTGTGCCAAACTCGCCCACAAAAAACACGGCGGGAAACTACAGCCCAGTTGACATGACACAAAAACGAGAAGGGCACCAATGCTGGGGCTTGGCATATCATGCATATCTATATTATACAATATTATATATATATATATATATATACCAGCAATGCTCCCATCTGTCCATCGTTGTACTGTCAACCTATGCTGCATGTAGCACTCGCTGTGTACGCTGTAGACATGATCAAAGGTCACCGCTAGTGTTCTGTGTTCAATCAACGCGAAACGATTCCAGTACAGGCCGCCAAAAGCATGGTATGGCAGTAACACAACCATGAGGCTGGCTCACGCAAGGGCCACTGATGATACTTTGCATACATGCATGTGAGGTTCTTTATTTGTTGTTCAATCTCTTGCTTTGTTCATTTGTGTATTCATTTGACCGTTGATGTAGGTATTCACAAATAGACCCAGATCTGGAATCACCGCTCTGGCCATGTCTGAGAATTCGCATTCTTCCAAACAAGTACAACGTCGGATGAATCAAGCCAGGGAGATATGTCTCCCAGCGAGCCGGATTCCCTATTCAATGGGACACCCTTGTTTGGGCAGGCCCTCTTTGCTCGTACCTTTTGGTCTTCCTTCGCCAAAAAGGGGCTAGGGGTACCCTCAGAACAAGACATCCCTCATCCCACCGCCGTTCCCCCAGGGAACGAATGCGCCACGCCACAATCAGCGTGTCTCGCTTGAAGGCCCCCAGCATGCCACCCACCGCGCCGCCTCCACCACGGAGAGGGAAGAACCTGCGGCCGGGGAGGGTGGTCAGGGGAAACGGGGCTTCGCAGTGCTGTCCTTTGAAAGCAAACCCAACGACCCTCCAAAAACACACCCTATTTGCTAGGGGGTCCAACGGCGTGCAACCCTGAGAGATATGGCTGAGGAAAGACACGCAGCCGCTGTCCAAACAAAAAATGCCCAGCTACTACTCGTTCACATCAACTGTGAGGGGAAGTATCTGAAAGAAAAGCAGTAACTTGGCAATCTAGCGTAGCAATGCTTGGATTGTTGGGGCTTCTGGCTTGCGGGGAGCCAACGCTGCTTCGATCGCACCGTTTTGGGCATTGCTGACCTCGTTGCGCTGAAACATCCCTTCATATCAACTTTTGCCGTCCTTCATCCTCCAGTAAGGAACTATCCCAAGCCAACTTAAAAGCTAACCCGTAAGCAAAACCACCGCTACTTGCCAACACAACACCAATAATGCGGTGTTCCGAGTCATGCCGGGGCGAAACATTGAATCTGGCAAGTCTGTGAGCTCGGCCATCTTCGCTACGGACCGAGCCAAATCCAAACTCTCTGCAATCCAAATCGGGAGCAGTCATACCCACAACTGGACTGTCAGTTGGGAATCCGTGGACACCATGTTCATTTGTGTTGATGGTCCAGCATTCCAGCCAAAAAAGGAAGCGCAGTATCCCCCAACAGCCCTGGCCCCTTCTAGAACGCTCTGGAACCCCTGGAACCCTCTCGGAAAGCTGCTCCGCCCCACACGCCCCATAGCTTCCTGTTGCCCCTGGAAGCGCCGAGGCACCAGTGCGCAAAATCGATGGCCCCGAGCTCCCGGGCCCAGGTGAACATGGTGTCCGCAATCACCTGCCATTTCGAATCAGACTCTCCAGGGGGCCATATGCGAGAAAACACATCAAACGAAAACATGTGTGCATGTGGGTGGTCAAAATCTCTCTTTTACATGTGGGTATTGTTCAAAATAGGGGCGGGCTCCCGATTTCCGTAGTGGAAACACATGTTTTTGCACACATGCAATCAGAGTTGTTCCAATTGGCAGGGGATCCTCGGTTTTCTTAATCCATAGTGCATAGTGGGACACACCACTACAACAAGGGAAAGCGCACCTTACCAACTGGAAAGGCAAGTGTATCCTTCATATTTCTGACCATCCGACACCAGGCAAGAGATTAGACTAGAGGCTATATTTGAATACCCCGGGTCTGGAACGTCTCCGTTTTGGGAGAATGAATCATCCCTGGGTTGGAGTCTACCTCAGAACCAAAAAGTGGATCCCCGCCCTTCGTGTGTTGTTTTGAGATACAGGCTCATCTAGCAAATTTGGCAGGGCTTCTGGTCAGGAGTCGGTAACGAATTTCGAAAGTCCGTATGACCACCGCGCTGAAATCCGTCTTGGTTGTTCGCGGGCAAATCCTGACAATGCTTTAGTTTTCTTTTTGGTCCTCACGAGTGTTGCGCCCACTCGCAGTCACTAAACACTTAGGCCTTTTCAAAGCCTGGGGGCATGCTTGGCCCTGCTTGGCAGTTGATCCACATTCTTTGTTCCCGCAAACGGCGATTCTTCAACCAAGACTTCCGCACACGTTGCAACCCTAACAGAGCTTCTGTCACGAGCGCTGTCCCTTGCACGACTATTGAAAACTAAGCTGCTGAGACAAAAGCCTCTGCTGTCATATGCCAGCGACCATAGCCGCAGCTTCCCCAAAATCGCATGTGTACAATACGGCTTCAAGTGCACAAGTTGACTCATTGACAGCTCCAGCGAAAAACTCGCAACCTTCCGTAAAGCTGCAGCAAACCAAGGCGCTGGTTGGCAGCTCCAGTTCAGTACCAGTTTTCCGTACGAGTTGGCAGTTCCGACTGGCAGGTCTTGTTGGAACACTTTAAAAGTCTATGTGACGTACGTGTTGGCCACTCCAGCTGGAAAATCGCAACTAACTGGTCAGCAAAGCGCAGCAAAGTACATTGTGGCTGCAATAGCTGTCAGCAAGGCCCACTGACGTTCACAGAGATCGTGTGGCGAACATTGCCCGACATGTGACTTACATATCTCACATGTTTGGTTGAGTCGTGACTCCAAACCCAGGATCACCATGCGGGAGCCGGCACGTACGCGAGCTCTCACAAAGGCGAATCCAGATGGTCTCAACTGGACCTTTCAATCTCCTTGGCCTGAGCCCTCAGCCTTAAGCCTTCATGGGACCTAAAAGTTGGCCACATGCCAAGACCAGAGGTTGCTCTCGGTTTCGTCTGAAACCGAGGTCCATGTTCTAGGCTCCAAGGTAACTTTGAGGCAACCTTTCATGGCTCCGAGACCTGTCGCCGAGCCTTCTGGTCAGCCTCCGTTGTGGGCTCGCCAGTGATGAGGCACCTAGCTTTGTGAAATTTGTGCGTGCCAAAAGGGTTGGGAGCCCCATTCCCTCGAGTACGTGCGCCTCAAGAAACACGCACAATTAAGTCCCTCAAATGGGCCAGAAGGAGTTCATGAGCCCGCGCAGTACAGGCGCTGGTTGAAGCGCTGGACCACGTCGCTGGGGAGCTTCTCAGCCATCAACACCTAAATGCGGTTTCACCGAGTTGTGGGTGTTTTTCGACCCACATTCCCACAAAATGCACCAAAGCCTGTTTGGAGCAGGTGGGTGTTTCCTCTGTTTCCTATGGGGACCCTTGTCCACGCAAAAGAAAGTTGCCTCAAAAAATGCGGGTGAAACATGCTTGAAAGTGTTGGCCCACCTCCAACTCAGGATTCAATTGGTTTCCTTCAAAACCGAGAGAAATGTCCAACGTGGCCAAACCCAGTTCTGTAACTGGGGACATTTGGGACCCTTTGGTGGACATGATTTACATTGGACAAAAAGGATGTCTAGCGAATTTGGAGGGTGTTCCCCACAAAAACCCGCGGCCTGCGGCTAGGGCCAAAACGGCGTGTCAAAATCGGAAGGAAGATCTTCTAAAACGGTCAGTCTTACCGTCGGACACCGCAAGGAAACAGGACCCGATCTGCGAGAAGCTCGAGAGCTCTTCTCCAAGGAGCTGGGATCCAAAAACAGAGGGTCTTCCCATGGGACAAACAGCATGGCTGTCGCCTGTCGCAAATGCAAATGCTGTTCACAATTGCTATTGATCCTAGTGGGGGTCAGGCCCTAGTACACAGGCTGCACGTCGCGTTTCATTCGCCGGGCCGCATCATCAAACATCGCCTTGCCGAGGACGGTCAGAGCATCCGCCATGGCGAAAGGCGACTGGAAAATGAACGCAACGACCGCGGAAATGGCTGGGCAACTTGCCTAGCCAGAGCCAAAAACGCGGTCGAACCATTTCAAGCTGACTCAATGGTAAAGCTCCGAAATTGATTGAAAAATCATCAAGCCGCCGGCTTGCAAATTCTGGCTTGGTCCTATTGTGAAATAACATGGCCATCTGGTAAGCCGTGCAGGCCCAGTGTCCGTCGGCCTGAAACAACCCACCACAAGTCTCTGATGTGGATTGTCCCCCTTCAAAGGTCAAATCCATCTGAAGATACGTTCGTTGTGCAAGAACGATGTGTGACCGTGTGCCTGGTCGAAGGCGAAAGTACCTGCCTGGACCTTTGATGATGTGCCTGGGTTACTTGACAGCCGCGCTGCACCGTTTTCAGAGAGGGCGTCAGCGCATCCATACATCACAAACCCTGCCCAGTATAGGGGCTTCCAGCCATCCTCCTCCGCAGAAGTCTTTAGCTGTGCCTCCCGCAAGCATTCAGCGGGGCTCGAAAATTGGCGTTTCGTCAACTCCTCGTAGAAGTGGACAATGGTCTTGGCCTTGGTCAAGCTGCGCTTTGGCAAATCAGGTTGGTCCCTTCATTAAGGTGTTTCCCAGAAGCCCCCTACACACCCACACGGCAGCTTAGGGCCACGACCCCCTCCTTGTCGTCGATCTCGTGGACGCTCACCATACAATGCTCTACACCAGCGGCGCTCAGGACATAAGCGAACCCTGCCGCACCCTCGCTGGGCCGCACATCTCCACGGGCACTGTAGCAGCAAGACAATGTGGCCAGGAAGGTCCCTCTAAGATCGCTCCCCAGCAAATCAAGGCCTGTAATCCTTTCACCACCCGCAGCAATGAGGCAGCAGCGCAGCAATGGGTTTCCCAAACAACTTGGCAGCATGGCCGCTTCGATCCGCTGCTCTGGGAACTCTGTCCTGCTCTCTTCGCTTCGATAGCACCCGTGAGTCGCAACATGGATCACACTGGGGTGAGCATCCTTGATCTGGGCAAGAAAGGCCTCACGAGTTGCCTCTTTGCCTTGCAGGAGAACAAGCTGCTGGAAAATGCCTTCCAGGCAGGCTGCCTCCGCTTGGGTGTGGTCCAGCTTGCGCCAGCCCGAGTTGCCCCCAAAATCCGGGTTGGCAAATGCCAGCGCACGCCATCTGCCCTGGCAAACACAAGGCTCTGCCGCACCTTTCATCAATCGATGCCCAGCATGCAAGTAGCTGACAGCAAACCTATGCAACAACGCGTCATACTTAGAGTGAGGTAGCTCTTGATGCACACTGTCTATGGGAATGCAGCAAAAGGCCAAGCTTGCAAGCTCGCCATCTGGGCAAATGTACAAATAGGTGATCTCAGCAGGCAGCTTACTCAGTATTGGATCCAAAATTGCTTTGCGCAGCTCCCTGCCCACCTTCACACCCTCCTGTATGACAGACTTCCTCCTTGAGAAGACGTTGGCGTGAAAGTCGCGCAGCAGCTTGTTCACAACATCTGTCTTCTCAAGGTCTATCAAAATAGGGTGAGGCTGGATTGAGTTACTGCTTCTTGGAAGCCATAAGAAGGAGCAATATCTGGGCTTACAGTCCTCCGCTAAAAACACATAATAATCGAGCAGCGCCTGACTCGGCAAGAGTCGCTCCGTCATCTTCTGGAACAGCTGCTTCTGGGGACACACACCATCCAGCCAGCTTGCGTTCAGCTTGCAGTGTCCCTGGGTATCCACTTCGAGCTCTTCGATCCTCTTCATCAGAGGTGTGAGGTCTTCAAATCTTCGTTCATCAAATGACTGGTACGCTTGCCTGGCCAAGGCCTGCCGAGCCTGCATCAACTCTTGCTGTTGTGCTGGTGGGCTGGAGACCGTGCACGCTTGAAACTCCCACTGAAGACACTTGCGCAGCATCAAGAAGCGAATGGCCTTCTCAGGAAGGCAGGTAGATCCCAGCATTGCTGCTGGCAGATTCAGCACAGCAGTGTTGTACTTCTGGGAGAAAGCCACTTGCTTGGCTTCGGGCAGCCCGGGCCAAATCTTCACGAGAAATGACAGCATGTGCTCAGCAGCCCGCGTTGCGTAGTCCAGCGCCTCACGACTGCGCTTCATCTTCAGAAGGCAAAGGGATGCGTGAACCAATGTCTCGCACACCTCCGGATGCCCGTGGCCGAGGGCCTTTTCCTGTGAAACTCGGCAGTCCTCATAAACTATCAGAGCCTCATCGAAATTCTGAAAGGCGAGCCAGCAATCTGCCAAGCTCCTTGACACAGCACTGGTTGTTGAATGATGCTTGCCCAGTGCATTAGAAAGTATTTCACGAGCTGTCAAAATGTCCTCCAAGGCTTCAGTATATTGGCCAAGTTCCATCCGCATAAGACCCACATGGTGTAGAGAGGTTGCATAAGAAGCATGTGTCTCTCCATCACGTTTCTTGTCAAGCTGGACACATTTCTGATAGCACTCCAAGGCCTCAAGTAGCTTGCCACGTTCCTTCAACAGACCTGCAATGTTGCTCCAAATTGTTGGATCCTCTGGTTCCCGTTCTTTGCATCTGTCATAAAGTCGAAAGGCTTCTGTCCACTGACCCAAGCGGCGATGGCATGTGGCCATGTTGCATAGGCAATCGACCACAAATTTAGGAACACTGGAAAGTGTCGAGGCATCTCTGAATGTTGCCAAGCTTTCATCAAGCTTGCCCATGTCCATAAGAACGGAACCAAGGCCGCACAAGCAATCTGCGCGAACTGAGTTAACCTTGGCTGCATCGCTTTCAATGCAATGTGTAAGTGTTTTCTCCAGACAGGTCTTGAAGGCTTTCTCAGCCTCGTCCAAGCGACATGTCCTGGCAATCAAGCCATTGCAGTTTCAGCACTCCACGACACTGACTTCCCATTGTTATTTTGAAGGAATGCAAAAATAGTCAAACACGGTGAGTTCAAAACCCCAAGTCAAACGCTTCATGGGTAATTACAAGTGTCCGTCACCACATTGGACGGTTGAGCATGAGAATCAGCGATAACAACCTGGAAACAACACCAAGCTGCAACCGAGCGATTTCTGGCTTCTCACAACCGCAGCTTCTCGGCAGAAACGCTTACCCTGCCATCTGCTTCTTTGGTTTTGGTGAAGCCAAAACTTCATCTTACATGAAAGTGCGTGGTCATGCGCAACAGGCTTTGGGGCAAGGTGTGAAACCGCTCATGTCCCCTCGATCATTTTTTGAGTTGGCTCAAAGGCCCTCGAACCCTGGTTCTTTGTCAACTTGAGTTCAACAGGCTCTGTGGCTCCCCAGTTGTGACCGCGTTCGACTCAAATACTCATGCACCCTGATTATCAATTGGCTGTGGCTCGAGCAAAATGGTTTGCTCAATTCAATCCCAAGCCTGCCATCCCTTTCGCTGCAAGTTTCAGCCGGACGTGAAAGCTGAAGTTGCAAACTACCACTACATCTCGCCGAACATCACAAGAGATTTGAAAGGGTTGCGGTCCTGCGGTACAGACCCGCAGATTTGCCTCCATTTCAGCATGCCTCTTAAGTATACACAGTGCTTCCACAAAATGTCCGCTTTGTCGAACTTTTGTAGCTCACGCTGACAATCACCAAGCGTCTTCAAGAGCACAAGTTCCAGCCTCACCTGCTCAAGACGAGGTCGGCGCTGATCTCGATGCTCATTGAAATGCCTGCTGGTGTTCAAAACACAAGAGCCCGCAGCTGCAGTAAAACTGCGGAGCTATAGAGCTTGTTCATGATGCTCAACGTGCTATCTCACATTTCTCGTGCAGAACTTCGTTATTGCAACCCATGCCCGGAAGTTCGTGTAGAAGGCCGCAAACCTTGCACCAAGCAGTGCACAATAAATCCAATAAGTGTCGTCCTCGTTCTCGGACAGTTGCGACTGCGATATTGGATGGCTTTCCTCGCTGTCCTCGAAATGCCAGATTCGTCGCCTCCATCGGCTTCCCTACCTCCGTTGCATACAAGCTGCTTTCCTCGAAGTTTTCCGGAACACCAAACTCCAACTGGTCCCGGTCAGGAATTCTGATACTGTGGATCCACTTCATTTTTTCTCAAAAGCCGGGAAGATTACCAGGACAAGATGAACAACTGGCTCGCGGGCCTGCGCGGTCGAGGGTTGCACGCACACGCTGACTGTGGGCAAAGAATTGTTGTTATGCTTTCGCAGATGCCATTTGAAAGGGGGACGGCAGGGACAACTGAATACATGGAAGGTATTTTTGGGTTTGCGCAGGGATGCCAAGATCAGGCTGAACGGGCAGCCGAAGCAGCGATGGGTTGCCGGAAATATTGGAAGACTGCAGCAAGTTGATTCACTGTAGAGCCGGCCCAGGCCTATGAACAGATAAAAAACATCTTGGACGATTATGTCTCTTAATTGATGCTTGACAAAAGGCTCTTACAATGGCGGTCAAAAAGTGCGTCAAGACTTTGCCTGCTCATTTGCTTTCATCATTGCGCTTGCAGCGTTCCCCAGCCTCCCCCCAATGGCAACGTGCCAATCGCTCTAAGGAAAGGTGGGGAGCGGTTGTAGGATTTCACACCGGGCAGATGCAATGTAACGAACACGGCCCTGGCCCGCCCCCCTGCAATTACAAGTCTTTGCAATTTCCACCACAAGCGAACAGGTTGTTGTTTTGTAGACCGAAAAATCAGCATGAGAAACTCCGGCCCAAAGCGATGCGCAATGGATAGGTTATTTAGCGCTTACAACACAGCGATCCCCGCCCTCCTTAACGCACAGCAGATTCATCAACAGTCTCATCTCTCAACTGATCTGCTGCAGGGCCAGAGGTGCGCAACTGGGCTTGCACAGCCAGTACAAAATCTCCTTGGCAAGTTGTACACAGCAATGTTGTAATTTGCCAGCGGCAGATCCGAATGACCCTCTGGCTGAGCAAACATGACCTCGCAACACTCTGGGCAAGAATGTCTTTTTCCTTTCTTCGTGTGCCTGCATGACAAGCGCGCGAGTGCTCAAGCCCTCAAGAAATTTAGAGTCAAGTGTGTGTGTGTGTGGGTGTGTGTGGGTGTGTGTGTGTGTGAGTAGGTGTGCGAGTGTGTGCGACTGTTGTCGACTGTGTGTGTGTGTGTGTGTGTGTGTGTGTGCAGCAATGCGTGCAGCAATGCGTGCAGCAATGCGTGCAGCAATGCGTGCAATGCGTGCAATGCCGTGCGGCGCCGTGGGTGCCGTGCGGTGCCGTGCGGTGCCGTGCGGTGCCGTGCGGTGCCGTGCGGCGCCGT